AGGTTCACACAAATTTCAAAAGATGCCAATTTCAAAATAGAGTCCAGCATAAACAGTGCAGACATTCCTGGCACTAAAATAACATTTTTTCTGTTCATTAGTCACATCTCCAGGCCCCTCTTATATTACTCTTGCTTTCCACTTTGAATTTTTATTCACACAAAAAATAGAAGATTTACTGTTATGCAGACTACTGCATTATTGTAATAATTGTATAAATAATGTCAACCCATTCGTGACTGTGTATTAGACTGGCCAGTTGGACACGTATCGGATGGTGACGTCATTTGTTTACTCTTGAATATCGGCAAAAACCAAACATTTCTGCTACTTTGAGCTCAAATTCAAGGTACTTTTCATCGTGAAACCAACCAAAATCATCTCTACAGTATTTCTGTAATATATCTTACATTCTATCAAATGAGACCAAGAAAACGAGAATACAACCATAAATACCATACGAAAATACACCTCAAATTTGGCATTTTAAACCAAAAACATGGAGTTTTTTTTTTCTCATGCACTGTGTGCTGCAGGATTCTTTTTTTATACTTTGCACACTGACCACACACACTCATTCTCTCACATGTAGATCTGCCAGCTTTTTCTCGCTAGATTTAAAGCCGCTAGAATTTTGGTGTATTAATACAGCACCAACACTGGCTTGTAAGCCGTATTAATACGACACCGACAGTGAAAGGGTTAAAAACAAAATACGTAGTAGTTGTGAACATTCTCTTTACTTTTGTTAACTAATGGTTATCATTTAACCTACATTGGTATTAGTCTCATTGTTATCTACATACATGTACTTGCTCTCTCGCTCTCTTTCTTTTCACCTGTAGCAGTCTACCTAGGCTACCAGTATATGGGACACAGTACCTGAGGTAACCAGAATTATTTGGGATTTTAATTATTTTCTGCAATTAACCCTTAACCCTTTGACTGTCGCGGCCCTATATATACGCCTTACGAGGTACCGTGTTTGACGTATATCTACTCATAAATTCTAGCGGCTTCAAATCAAGAAGGAGAAAGCTGGTAGGCCCACATGTGAGAGAATGGGTCTGTGTGGTCAGTGTGCACCATATAAAACAATCCTGGAGCATGCAGTGCATAATTAGGAAAAAAAAAACTCCGACTTTTTTTTTTTTTTATTAAAATGCCGACTTTGTGGTCTATTTTCGTATAGTATTTATGGTTGTATTCTCGTTTTCTTGGTCTCATTTGATAGAATGGAAAACATATTATAGAAATAGAGGTGATTTTGATTGATTTTACTATAAAAAGAACCTGAAAATGGAGCTCAAAGCAGGGGAAATGTTTGATTTTTGCCCATGTTCAAAAGTAAACAAATGATGTCATTGTCCAATAAATGTCCAACTAGCCATTCTAATATGCAGTCACGAATGGGTTGATGTTATTTATACAATTATTACAGTAGTCTGCATAATAGTAAATCTTCTATTTTTTGTTTGAATAAAAATTCAAAATAGAAAGCGAGTAATATCAGAGGGGCTGAGACATGACTGATGAACAAAGAAAATGTTATTTTAGAGCCAGGAATGTCTGCATTGTTTATTCTGGACCTTATTTTGAAATTGTCATATTTTTTAATTTTCGTGAAATTGGCCAAATTGCAAATTTCTGACCACATTATTGGGTAGTTGAAATTGGTAAATGGGCAGTTTCTTGTACTCAATCGATAGAAAAAACGGAGTTCTAAAGAAATAGCTATGAGTTTGGTCGACTGGAACAATGGAATTAGCCGAAAATAGGGCTCAAAGTGGGTGAAATTGCCAATTTGTAAATATCGCTGAGGTTGCTAACTTCGCGAGACTGTAATTCCGTCAGTTTTCCATCAAATTTCGTTTTTTTGGTGTCATTACAATCAGGAAAAGATTATCATTTCACAAGAAAAAATAATTTTTTTTTTTTAAATTTTGCGACACCAGGAGACACCTCAGGATTGGGGATTGCGACAGTCAAGGGATTAAAAGGTCCAAACGTATATATATGTTCACTCACATAGCGCCCCAACTTTTTTGAGAAAAAAAAAATAGTTTTTTTAAAAAGGAAAAAAGAGCATATGGAACCCAGGTGTCCCCAATTATTTTAATATGGCGCACAGTGAGTGCGCACACCCATTCTCTCATGTCTAGGCGACTCAGGCTTATCGTGGCAATGTTGAATGAATGACAAAGAAAATGTGTATATACGTTTGAGGCGCTATGCGAGAGAATGTATACAGGTCTCCCTCAACATTCGCGAGGGTTAGGGGATCAAGAGCCTCGCGAATGTTGAAAAACCGTGAATGTTTGGTGCCCCAATATATTGTAGGGAAATATATTACAATACTGCTTCCTTAACTTGTTGAACCATGAATAATCATAAAATACATGAAAAAGTCGTAAATTGTACTAAATATATACATGTTATGCTTTAATAACGTATGTTATTTAATAACATGTATGTTAATAACATGTATGTTATTAAATACCACAGACTCCACCACTGCGAGTCCCTACTACCCTTCCTCCGACCCCCGCAACTGGCAGCCAGCCCTCCAACCACTCAGTGTGGTGAGTGTTTTGTTTGTTCATTATTTGCTATTAAACTACAGAATAAATAATGTAAACCCATTCATGACTGCATATTGGAATGGCTATTAGGAAAGGTATTAGACGGTGACATCATGTGTTTACTCTTGAACACAGCAAAGAATCGAACATTTCTGCTATTGCTAATAACAACAATAGTAATAATAATAATAATAATAATAATAATAATAATAATAATAAATACGATATAATTGAAGAAGGAAATTGTACAAAAATACGAGGGAGTGGTTGACACATCGTCAGTGTGACTGTTTATGCTGGAGTGAACATTAGTCTCCCTGCTCTTCCAAACATTTCACAATAATTCAGCGGTTGAGGCAGTGGTATTTAATAACATATATGTTATAAATAATAATAGTACATGTTATTATTAATAACATGTATTATTATTAACATGTATGTATTTAATAACATGTTATAAATAATAATAGTACATATTATTAATAACATGTATTATTATTAACATGTATGTATTTAATAACATGTTATAAATAATAATAGTACATATTATTAATAACATGTATTATTATTGACATGTATGTTATTAACCCTTTGAGGGTTTTCGTCGTACTAGTACGTTTTACGCGTAGGGGTTTTTGACGTACTAGTACTCATAAATTCTAGCGGCCTCAAATCTAGTGGGAGAAAGCTGGTAGGCCTTCATATGAAAGAATGGGTCTATGTGGTCAGTGTGCACAGTCTAAAAAAAATCCTGCAGCACACAGTGCATAATGAGAAAAAAAAAACTTTGACCATTTTTTTTTAATAAATCAGCGACTTTGCAGTGTATTTTCGTATGGTATTTATTGTTGTATTCTAGTTTTCTTGGTCTCATTTTATAGAATGGAAGACATATTACAGAAATTGAGATGATTTTGACTGATTTTACAAAGAAAGGTGCCTTGAAATTGAGCTCAAAGTAGCAGAAATGTTCGATTTTTACCAAACTTCAAAAGTAAACAAATCGTGCCAAGCGTGCAATACACGTCAACTGGTGAGTCTAATATTCTTTCACAAGTGCACCAATAATATTTTATACCATTTTTTACACTAATGCAGTAGTCTGCATAACAGTAAATCTTATATTTTTTGTGAAAATAAAAATTCAAAGTGGAAAGCAAAAGAATATAAGAGGGGACTTGAGACATGACTAATGACTAGAGGAAATGTCATTTTAGTGCCAGGAATGTCTTTCTTGTTTATTCTGGACCCTATTCCGAAATTGACATCTTTTGAAATTTGTGTGAAATTGGCAAAATTGCTAAATTCTGACCACTGTACTGGATAGTTGAATTTCATAAATGAGTGGTTTCTTGCATCCATTCGATAGAAAAAAATGGAGTTCTAGCGAAATATTCATGTTTTTTGTCGACTAGTACAGTGAAATTGGCCGAAAATGGGGCTCAAAGTGGGCAAAATCGCCGATGCGCAAACATCGCCGAGACCGCTAACTTTGCGAGAGCATAATTCCGTAAGTTTTCTATAAAATTTCAAACTTTTGGTGTCTTTATGATCGGGAAAAGATTCTCTATCTTTTCATAAGAGAAAATAATTTTTTTTTTTTTAAATTTGGCCGACCCTGAGAACGAGTTTCGGAGAGGGCCTGTCGACCCTCAAAGGGTTAAATACCATTTCCTCAATCACTGCCTCTACCACTCCAGTCACACTCAATCTACAAGCACCAAACACAATGAATTATTGTGAAATGTTTGGAAGAGCAGGGAGACTAATGTTCACTCCAGCATAAACAAAGTCACACTGACGATGTGTCAACCACTCCCTCGTATTTTTGTACAATTTCTTTCTTCATTTATATCATATTTATTATTATTATTATTATTATTATTATTATTATTATTATTATTATTACTATTGTTATTATTAGCTGTAGCAGAAATGTTTAATTCTTTGCTGTGTTCAAGAGTAAACACATGATGTCACCGTCTAATACCTTTCCTAATAGCCATTCCAATATGCAGTCATGAATGGGTTTACATTATTTATACTGTAGTTTAATAGCAAATAATGAACAAACAAAACACTCACCACACTGAGTGGTGGGAGGGCTGGCTGCCAGTTGCGGGGGTCGGTGGGAGGGTAGTAGGGACTCGCAGGTGGCGGGAAACTTAAATATGATTTGGCGGCTGGGAATTTGGTGGCTGGGAATTTGGCGGTTGGGAATTTGGCGGTTGGGAATTTGCGAATGTGTGAAGTCCGTGAAAGTTGAAAACATGAATGTTGAGGGAGACCTGTATATACGTTTGGACCATTTAGGGGTTAAATAACTAGTTCTTGGCATTGTTGATAACACAGTTAATGAGCATTATTCTTAAGACAAAATGTGCATTTCTGATGTGTGATTACTTTCTAATCTTGCAGATACTTTAGTAACGCCACCTGCCGTCCAATCAGACACAGAATACAAGGAGGCCAGCACTAACTGCAATAAGAGCACATCAAGTACTGCCATATCCACTATCACTATAAACTCTATGACCACCACCACCACTGTTAGCAATGGCATTACTGAACCAAACTCCAATACTGGGAGCAGTGGCAACAACAGTGATGTAAATGGCAGTGGTAGTAGTGGTGGTGGTGGCAGTGTGGTAGTTGGCAATGTGGAATATGTTGTGGTGGGAGTCTGTGTAGTGGTAGTTAGATTAATTGTGGAATATTCTGAGTGCGCCTCCACATTGAGGTTAGCAGCACAGCAGTTACTTACTCGACTGACTGATCTTCTAAGAAGGTTTAATTCAGACACCTGCAGGTAAGATGATGTGTATTTCCAGAGTCATGCATGTTATATTATTTCTGTTAATACACAACTAACCCATAGTTTGGTGTGGAAATTTAAGATGACATTTTGCTCTACCCTGGACCATCATAAGTTACAACTGAGAGAAAATGGAAGAAAATTGAGAGATGGGTAAAGTGAATTGGAGAGGAGAAAGTCAGAAGATAGGTCGGGTAAAAAAAAAAATTTGAATGACAGGTTAGAAGAGGTGAAGAGAGAGTCAGATGAAAAGTATATGAAGATAAGTGTGGAGAAAGTACATTGTGTATTCATTTAACCCTTTGAGGGTCGACAGGCCCGCTCCGAGACTTGTTCTCAGGGTCGGCCAAATTTAAAAAAAAAAAAAAATATTTTTTCTTATGAAAAGATAGAGAATCTTTTCCCGATCATAATGACACCAAAAGTATGAAATTTGATGGAAAACTTATGGAATTATGCTCTCGTGAAGTTAGCGGTCTTGACGATGTTTACGCATCGGCGATTTTGCCCACTTTGAGCCCTATTTTCAGCCAATTCCAGTGGACTAGTCAACAAAAATCATAACTATTTCTCTAGAACTCCATTTTTTCTGTTGAATGAGTACAAGAAACCACCCATTTACTGATTTCAACTATCCAGTACAGTGGTCAGAATTTAGCAATTTTGCCAATTTCACACAAATTTCAAAAGATGCCAATTTCCAAATAGGGTCCAGAATAAACAAGAAAGACATTCCTGGGACTAAAATAACATTTCCTCTGTTTGTTAGTCACATCCCCAGGCCCCTCTTATATTTCTTTGGCTTTCCACTTTCAATTTTTATTCTTACAAAAAATAGAAGATTTACTGTTATGCAGACTGCTGCATTAGTGTAGAAATGGTTTAAATAATATCAGCGCACTTGTGAAAGAATATTAAACTCACCAGTTTAATATGGACGCTTGGCATGATTTGTTTACTTTTGAACTTTGGTAAAAATCGAACATTTCTGCTACTTTGAGCTCAATTTCAAAGTACTTTTCATTGTAAAACCAGTCAAAATCATCTCAATTTTTGTAATATGTCTTCCATTCTATAAAATGAGACCAAGAAAACTAGAAAACAACAATAAATACCATACGAAAATACAGTGCAAAGTCGCTGTTTTATTCCAAAAACACGGTCAAAGCTTTTTTTTTTTCTCATTATGCACTGTGTGCTGCAGGATTTTTTTTATACTGCGCACACTGACCACACAGACCCATTCTTTCATATGTATGCCTACCAGCTTTCTCCCACTAGATTTGAGGGCACTAGAATTTAGGCGTACTAGTACGTCAAAAACCCTGGGTCGTAAGCCGTACTAGTACGGCCGAAACCCTCAAAGGGTTAACATGCAATGTACGTTTTACATGCAATAAATAATTTTTTTTTTTCAACAAACCGGCCGTATCCCACCGAGGCAGGGTGGCCCAAAAAGAAAAACGAGTGTTTCTCTTTTTAAACTTAATAATTTATACGGGAGAAGGGGTTACTAGCCCTTTGCTCCCGCCATTTTAGTCGCCTCTTACAACACGCATGGCTTATGGAGGAAGAATTCTATTCCACTTCCCCATGGAGATAAGAGGAAATAAACAAGAACAAGAACTAGAAAGAAAAATAGCAGAAAACCCAGAGGGGTGTGTGTGTATATGTGCTTGTACATGTATGTATAGTGTGACCTAAGTGTAAGTAGAAGTAGCAAGACGTACCTGAAATCTTGCATGTTTATGAGACAGAAAAAAGGACACCAGCAATCCTACCATCATGTAAAAAAATTACAGGCTTTCATTTTACACTCGCTTGGCAGGACAGTAGTACCTCCCCGGGCAGTTGCTGTCTACCAACCTACTACCTAGGAAATAAATATTTTTTTTTTTTAAAAGTCGGCCATCCCCCACCGAGGCAGGGTGACCCAAAAAGAAAGAAAATCCCCAAAAAGAAAATACTTTCATCATCATTCAACACTTTCACCTCACTCACACATAATCACTGTTTTTGCAGAGGTGCTCAGAGCACAACAGTTTAGAAGCATATATGTACCTATAAAGATACACAACATATCCCTCCAAACTGCTAATATCCCGAACCCCTCCTTTAGAGTGCAGGCATTGTACTTCCCATTTCCAGGACTCAAGTCCGGCTATATAAAAATAACTGGTTTCCCTGAATCCCTTCACTAAATATTACCCTGCTCACACTCCAACAGATCGTCAGGTCCCAAATACCATTCGTCTCCATTCACTCCTATCTAACACGCTCACACACGCTTGCTGGAAGTCCAAGCCCCTCGCCCACAAAACCTTTACCCCCTCCCTCCAACCTTTTCGAGGACGACCTAATCTGTGAACTAAAAAGCTGGCTTGTGAATCAAAAAAGGTATGGTTGTCATGTATGAGATAATTAAGAATATTGATAATATAAATGGCAAAGAACTGTTTGGATGGTGGGGTCAGAGCAAGAGAATGCAGATTGCCTATTTGGATTACCATCTGATGAGCTTTATAAACTCGGCATAAGTGCATAAGACAATGAATTTGGTCAACCATCACCTGGGAAAGATTAAAAAAAAAACTCCATCCAAGCAAGGCTGATGACTTAAAAATGTATATAACCACATAGCAAAAATTTAAAGTCATCAGCCTTGCTTGGATGGAGGTTTTTTTTTAATCTTTCCCAGGTGATGGTTGACCAAATTCATTGTCACATTAGTCTTTTAATGTTTTCCGTTCATAATTGTCTTTGTTTTATGTATATGCTCTTAAAATCATTAATTTAGGTATGTATTAGAAAATCAATGTGTTTACTTTTGCAACGCTGCCTTCTGCCTCACACAGAGGCCTTCACAATTTTTAATCACAATTTCTTTGTTTTAATTCCACTCTCCTTTGCGTGCCTTATGAATCTGAATTATTCACTAGTTCGCAGCAACATCAATATGTGAATGTGCATACTTTTTTGTTTGAGAGGATTATTTAGTTTGAGGTTTAAATGTCTTGCAGATCATCAGTTTTATGCATCTTCAGATAAATGTCATTATAGAAGAATATTTTTTTAATTAATTACTGTATTAAATTTCAGACTTTTGATTGAGGCAGGAGCTGTAGCCCTTGGACTGAAAACTATAACAACTCGGAACTTGGCCTTAGCCTGGCGATCCTTACAGTTGTTACTAACCTTGCTACCACGTCTTAACACTCATTTCTCTACTCTCCTCCGACCAGCTATTGTTGCAAAAAATATTGAACAGGTAAGTACAGGATGAAAAATTAATATACATACAGTGGACCCCCGGTTAACGATATTTCTTCACTCCAGAAGTATGTTCAGGTGCCAGTACTGACCGAATTTGTTCCCATAAGAAATATTGTGAAGTAGATTAGTCCATTTCAGACCCCCAAACATACACGTACAAACGCACTTACATAAATACACTTACATAATTGGTCACATTCGGAGGTAATCGTTATGCGAGGGTCCACTGTATTTGCATATTTATTTTTTATTGTATGACAGTCTTAAGTTCTTCAGTGAGGTAAATTCTCATATAATAGACATTCCTTGCTGTAGAGTGCTTTGCTAATACAGCACTTTTCATTTATTTTCACGTTTATTATATTCTGCACTTATCTTGCTCTTAAGATGTTTTTTGGAGATTTTTAATTTATTTTTACTTTGGCTTCTTTTTTTTTTTTTTAGGCCTAGCACTATTGCACACTTAAATGCTAGGATAAACATGTTTTTATGCTTTATACACACTGGCAAGTGAAGGAAAGGTTGTGATTTGCTTTAGGGTGATATTTGCTTTACAGCGGTGGTCTGAAACCTAACCCATCGTATTAGTGTGGTATGCTTGTACCATAATTCACAGCCATTTATTTTTGTGTTTGTTTAACACAACTTTTTCTATATTTTTTTAACTTAATGACCATCTTCCACCAAGGTAAGGTAGACCCCCCCCCCCCCTCCCTAAAAAAAAAAAAAAGGAAAATTCAATATCATTCATTCAAATCCTGTACTCATTTGTACTCACCTGCTCACAGTTGCAAGGGTTAATTCTCAAATTCTGGCCCTGTCTCTTAACTTGCCACTCTCCAAATTACCTTTCCTATAGCCTTGTGAACCCTATCATACTTACTCTTGAAAGCTATGTATGGAAAGAATAGAAAGGCACAATACTGTGACTAGTTAATGGTCCTACTAAGACCCATCATCATCATCATCCATCATAAGTTTCAATCTCCTATGTGTGGGTTATTTGTGTACTATGTATGGGACCCACCTCCATCACTCCCCAACCAGACATACTTCCAGACATCCCTGTGGCTCATCTATCATCTTCTATGTCTTTATTCCTGAGTTTCCGTTTCTTGCCTCTCAGACAGCCCATCCCTCTCTGCCTTATAAATTCCTGTGAGTATTATATATGTTGTTGTCATGTCTTCCCTGGTTATTCTGTCCTCTAATGCCATTAGATTCACTTCTCTTAGCTTTTATCCATAAGTCATATCCCTTAGCTCAGGAACAAACCTTGTTTCATACTTTTGTGGTTTCTCGTTTCTTAACATGCTTTTTCAGGTGCAGGTTCCATACTGGTGCTGCATACTCCAAGATGGGCCTGATGCATATTGTATAAAGGTCCTGGAAAGATTCTTTGTTTAGATTGAGATTCCTGAAGGCTACTCTAAAATTTGCAAGATGAGCATTGGCTGCAAAAGTTATTTGGCTGATGCTAGCCTCTAGCAATATACTAGGCACTATGCTCACTACTAGGTCTTTCTCTTTGAGTGAAATTTGCAGCCTCTGTTCCTTTTATCTATACCCTATTTCAGATGTTGTTGCTCCTTCCCCAATCTTCACAACTGCCGGAACTGGCCACTCTCTTTCTGACAGACTCAAAGAGCACAAGAAAAGTATTAGGCTTACCGGCACCAATCATGCTCTTTTCTGTCGTGTTAGAGATCACTCGTCCTATTGACTAGTCCTCTGCTAAAACTGTCGACCCTACTTCTAGCCTTCACAGTCGCTGTCTTGTTGAAGCATCCCATAGACGCAACTTTCCTTGCATAAATCTTAGTCCTGGCTTTGTCTCTGTTGATGCCTTCCTTTCTCATTACATTGTCAAATACTCCAAACTTCAGAACACTCATGACTTGCCTGATCCTTTCTTTTTCTCCTTTCCCTACCTCCTCTTTCCTATTTTTTTCATTTTTCTTTCTTTGTTTTCCTTTCTTCTGCCTGAGTGTGTTCTGTCCTCCTGTTTTTGCCCCTTGTGGGCCCCTAGCTCTCCTGCAGTGCTCCTTTTTCTTGTCCTTAGACTGACCACACGTTTACTGCTATGTCTACTATTCCATTTCTGCTACTGCCATTACCGTTGCCTCCCTTCACCCTTCACTCTCCTTTTCTTTTGTGCCACTATACTACTTGCCCTGCTTTCTACTACCATTTCCACTACCAGCCTTACCCCTACTATTACTTTTTCTACCTCTCTTGTTCTTGTCCCTCCTTGCCTATATATACTGGCTTCCTCACTCTCTTGTGTTAGTGTGACTTTGTAAATAGTCCAAGTCAGACTGAAACATTGTTGTAAGCTTCTCTTTCCTATGTAAATAGTCCAAGTCAGACTGAAACATTGTTGTAAGCTTCTCTTTCCTATTTGTGGGTTATTTGTATATCACTTCCACATATCTGAATACATTTACATCCACCATACTCCCTCCCTCCAATCTGATATTCAAGCTATCATAGCTTAGATTTTTTGTTGCCCTCATCACCTTGCTTTTTTCTATGTTCACTTTTAATTTCCTTCTTTTACAAACCACTCAGATTCATTCACCAATCTTGCAACTTTTCTCTTGAGTCTCCCACTCTGTATCAGTTTCATTATATGTACCTCTTAATTCCACACTTCTCCCAACACCCTAGCATTTACTTCTTTTACAACCCCATTTGTATACAGTATATGTTAAAAACCAAGGTGATATCACACATCACTGTATAAGGCATACTGTTATTGGAAAGTAACTCCCCCTGCTACATATCCTAACCTGAAACTCACTCTGCATTATAACTCCTTACTGCTTTTAGCTATTTACTAACTATTCCTTGCATTTCCACAGCAGCCAGATTGCTTCTTTGTTCACCTTATGTATCATATGACTTCTAAATCCTAAGTGCAACAAATAGTTGCTTACTGATACATAAGTTTTGTTCACATGTATGTTTCAGAGTACACACTTGGTCTACACATTCCTCAGCTTCCTAAATCCACTTTGTTCTTTTGCAATCCTGCTTTCTATTTTACCCCAGTATTCCCAACAGACTTATTCTCTATACTTCTTACACAAGCTTGTTCCATTTTTCCACATACAAGCTCTCTGCCAATCACAAGTACCTTTGCATCTTTTATGTATATATTGAGCAAATACACTAATTACTTCAAAACTCTATCCTGTTCCTATTACATAACATTTCTCTATATGAAATTATACCATCCAGCTATCACTCCATTTTCTCAGTATATCCAAGTATTCCTGCATAGTTACATATAATCATTTTAATTGTTTATATTGCATAAGATTTTTGCTTGATCTGCATACTTTGTGGCACCCTGCTATTTACTGTACTCTGAGGGCATTTTATCTTGTATCATTGCATTTTAAACAGGAAATATCTCTGCCTTTTATGCCTCCTGATACCGTACTAGATTTTCTTATGTCCATCTGATTGGCCAAGCTATTGCAACTTGCAGGCCCACAACCTGCCATCATAAACATGGCTAACGATTTTGCTTCATGCTGTATCATGCTCTACTTTTGACATGTATTATGAAGTGAAAATAATGGTAACAGACAACAATTTGGTATTTCTCTGGCAGGTAACAAGAGAGTATCAAGAGCATTGTGAAGCTATAGAAGCTAAAATTGTAGGTGTAATGAGTGACACCCTAGAACGACAGTTAGCCACTTGGGAAGCACGCTCACCTGTCCCTTCTCCAGTATTTACAGGAATCTTGAAGGCTGTAACTAAGTTACACGAGGCTGTGTCAGGAGTCCTACCTCGTCAGCAGGTATGCCATTTTTGTATAAAATAGTATTACCCATCTAATTTTTATTACACAGTCTTGTCTTTTGAGTTATTATAAAAAATAACAAAACCTTAATAGTTCCCATGTCAGGTAAAACTTTGAATAAGATAAAACATGAAATTCCAGACTGAATTATATTTAGATTTTAGAGTATGACTTTATTCATAGAGTATTCACTCCTATATATACAGTAATTGCCATATCATACAAGCAGCACTAATTACTATAGTGTTTTACAAGGATGTATAAAACAAATGGGGAGATGGATGTATTTTGAAGATACAAGGAATATTTTGAGGAACTGTTCAATGTTGTTGAAGAAAGGGAGGCATTGATTTCATGCATTAGCCAGAGAGGTATAAAATGCTAAATTTAGGAGTCAGGAAAAGCCAGACATGAGAGTGGTAGAGGTACGCGAGGCAGTGGGTAAAATGGAAGGAGGTAAAGCAGCTGGGATATAGTTTTGGAGTGGTTGGTACTTTAATCAATAATGTAGGGGGTGAAATGCCTTGATGCAGATGAGGGTTTATGATCCCAGGAATAGGAGCCATCAGCCTCTTTCTCGCTTTGAACCTGATTGCCTCCCAATTTCCCAGAAATCTTGACCCCCAACGCGTCACGAATATAAACCATACCACGGATGGGGATAGAACCCGCGATCAGAGACTCTCTGATCGCGGGTTCTATCCCCGTCCGTGGTATGGTTTGTTTGCAATCGTGTCATTACGATTTCGTGAGTCATCACGAATATAATTTGTAAGTATAAAAGTGAGGAAGGCCATAGTTTATTCTCAGGTGTTGACGAATAGTCAGACCAAGACGGCCATAGTATCCTCTAGAAAGACGTAGAATTAGGGGGGATATGATTGAGGTGTATAAATGGAAGACAGGAATAAATAAAGGAGATGTAAATAGTGTGCTGAAAATATCTAGCCTAGACAGGACTCGCAGCAATGGTTTTAAGTTAGAAAAATTCAGATTCAGGAAGGATATAGGAAAGTACTGGTTTGGTAATAGAGTTGTGGATGAGTGGAACAAACTCCCAAGTACAGTCATAGAGGCCAGAACATTGTGTAGCTTTAAAAATAGGTTGGATAAATACATGAGTGGGTGTGAGTTGGACCTGATTAGCTTGTGCTACCAGGACAGTTGCCGTGTTCCTCCCTTAAGTCAAGGTGACCTGACCTGACTAGGTTGGGTGCATTGGCTTAAGCCGGTAGGAGACTTGGACCTGCCTCGCATGAGCCAGTAGGCCTGCTGCAGTGTTCATTCGTTCTTATGTTCTTATAAAAGTGGGGAAGGTATCTAGAGACTGGCAGAAAGCATGCATAGTTTCTTTGTATAAAGGAGAGGGGGGAACAAGAGAGTCTAAAAATTAGAGGAATAAGTATATTGAGTGTACCAGATAAAATGTATGGAAGACCTATTATTGAAAGAATTAAGAGTAATATAAAGAACAGGGTAGAAGATGAACAAGGAGGCTTTAGAAAGTGTAGGGGATGTGTAGACAAGTTTTTACATTGAAGCATGTAAGTGAGCAATATTTAGATGGAGTGAAGTTTTTGTTTCTTTCATGGATTTAGAAAAAGCATATGATAAGGTGGATAGGGGAGCAATGTGGCAGGGTATGTAGGAGAGAGAGAGATTATTTTCCATAAAAGTAGGTCTTAGACAGGGATGTGCGATGTCACCATGGTTGTTTAACATATTTATAGATAGGGTTGTAAAAGAAGTGAATGCTAGGGTGTTGGAGAGAGAGGTGGGATTAAACTATGGGTAATCAAATACAAAATGGGAGTTGACACAGTTACTTTTTGCTGATGATACTGTGTTTTTGAGGGATTTTAAAGAAAAACTGCAAAGGTTAGTGGATGAGTTTGGGAGGCTGTGTAAAGGTAGAAAGTTGAAAGTGAACATAGATAAGAATAAGGTGATGAGGGTACCAAACAAATTAGATAAAGAAAAATTATACAGGTCTCCCTCAACATTTGTGAGGGTTAGGAGACCAAAAACCTCTCGAATGTTGAAAAAACGTGAATGCTTGGTGCCCCAATATATTGTAGGGAAATATAATACAATACTGCTTCCTTAACCTATTGAACCATGAACAATCATAAAACACATGAAAACATAGTAAAATATTGTACTAGTGCCAGCCCTTTGGTAAAGAAGGCAAGAAAAACTATAGAATTCAAGAAAGAACTCATAGCAGAGTACCAAAGTGGAGGAGGAAGAGAGAGGGGAGAATGTGCCTTCTTCAGTGATTCTACGATATGTATGATAGTAAAGCAGCACGAGTCGATAAAGGCTATAGCGCCAGCCAGCGATAAAGTGTAGTATTAACAATGTAGCAAGTGAGTTAAGTGATTAATTGATAGAAAAAGGACAGCACAAACCTAACTCGTCCAGTGTTGTTAGAGTTACATAGGGCGACTGGTAACACTTCTGTCCCTAGGTCAAGGATCCCCAGACAGCTTATAAATTTAGGACTCTGCTAAAAAATTATCTTATCTCACAATATTAACCAAATCAACCAAACATCTATTGACTAGTTTTATCATGTGACCACCTGGCTTTTAATTCTGCCATTCCATAAAATATTCCATGTTTAGTTTTAAGTATAATTACTATGTACGTACTATTATCTTATCTAGTTTTAATTAGTTACTATGTATTAGGATTAGTTTGCCCGAAGTGCCTCGGCATGATAGTGGCTATCTTTGTGGAAATTAGGAGAAGGTGTGGAGTTAATAAAAGCATTAGTCAGAGGGCAGAAGAGGGGTTGTTGAGGTGGTTTGGTCATTTAGAGAGAATGGATCAAAGTAGAATGACATGGAAAGCATATAAATCTATAGGGGAAGGAAAGAGGGGTAGGGGTCATCCTCGAAAGGGTTGGAAAGAGGGGGTAAAGGAGGTTTTGTGGGCGAGGGGCTTGGACTTCCAGCAAGCGTGCATGAGCATGTTAGATAGGAGTGAATGGAGACGAATGATACTTGGGACCTGACGATCTGTTGGAGTGTGAGCAGGGTAATATTTAGTGAAGGGATTCAGGGAAACCGGTTATTTTCATATAGTCGGACTTGAGTCCTGGAAATGGGAAGTACAATGCCTGCACTTTAAAGGAGTGGTTTGGGATATTGGCAGTTTGGAGGGATATGTTGTGTATCTTTATACGTATATGCTTCTAAACTGTTGTATTCTGGGCACCTCTGCAAAAGCAGTGATAATGTGTGAGTGTGGTGAAAGTGTTGAATGATGATGAAAGTATTTTCTTTTTGGTGATTTTCTTTCTTTTTTGGGTCACCCTACTTCAGTGGGAGACGACCGACTTGTTGAAAAAAAAAAAAAAAAAAAAATTGTAATTACACATTGTAACCTTTACAAAGAAATAAAATTATTATTATTATTACCTCTGCTGCCGTCTCCACCACCACTATGTACAGCTTATGCTCTCAGTGGCCCTCATACACCCAGCAACAACACAGCAACACTCGTGACATACTTAATGATGTGTTTTATTCATTCTAGAGTATATATCATGTTTCTATGTTGTTAGTATTGTTTATTATATCATATTAGATGAATTGTGATAGATAAATAAGCCATAGAGTTAATATTAGTGTCATATTGAAGGACTATCTTGTCTTATCTCCAAACAAACTCTGCCACCACCACAATTCCTAACATATGTAATGATATATTTTAAATATGATTGGGCAGCTGGGAATTCACGAATGTTCGAAGCCCGCAAAAGTGGAAAATGTGAATGTTGAGGGAAACCTGTATCACATTGGTGGGAGGGAGTATGGAAGAAGTGAATGTTTTCAGATATTTGGGAGCTGACTTTTCAGCAGATGGGTTTATAAAGGATGAAGTTAACCATAGAATTGATGAGGGAAAAAAGGTAAGTGGTGCATTGAGATATCTGTGGAGACAAAGAATGTTATCCATGGAGGCAAAGAAGGGAATGTATGAGAGTATAGTGGTACTAACACTCTTATGCGGGTGTGAAGTATGGGTTGTATATGCTGCAGTGAGGAGGCAGCTGGAGGCAGTGGAGATGTCCTGTCTAAGGGCAGTGTGTGGTGTAAATATTATGCAGAGAATTCATAGTGTGGAAATTAGGAGGTGGTGTGGAGTTATTAAAAGTATTAGTCAGAGGGCTGAAGAGGGGTTGTTGAGGTGGTTAGGTCATTTAGAGAGAATGGAACAAAGTAGAATGACTTGGAGAGCTCATAAATCTGTTGGGGAAAGAAGGCGGGGTAGGGGTCATCCCCAAAAAGGTTGGAGGGAGGGGGGTAAAGGAGGTTTTGTGGGTAAGGGGCTTGGACTTCCAGCAAGCATATTGGATAGGAGTGAATGGAGATGAATGGTTTTTGGGACCTGACAAGCTGTTGGAGTGTGAGCTGGGTAATATTTAGTGAAGGGATTCAGGGAAACCGGTTATTTTCATATAGTCGGACTTGAGTCCTGGAAATGGGAAGTACAATGCCTGCACTTTAAAGGAGGGGTTTGGGATATTGGCAGTTTGGAGGGATATGTTGTGTATCTTTATATGTGTATGCTTCTAGACTGTTGTATTCTGAGCACCTCTGCAAAAACAGTGATAATGTGCGAGTGTGGTGAAAGTGTTGAATGATGATGAAAGTATTTTCTTTTTGGGGATTTTCTTTCTTTTTTGGGTCACCCTGCCTCGGTAGGAGACGGCCGACTTGTTGAGAAAAAAAAAAAAAAAAAAAAAAAGCTGTTGGAGTGTGAGCTGGGTAATATTTTGTGAAGGGATTCAGGGAAACCAGTTAGCCAGACTTGAGTCCTAGAAATGGGAAGTACAATGCCTGCACTTTAAAAAAATGGGTTTAGGATATTGGCCTCTGCAAAGACATCGATTATATATGAGTGATGGTGCAAGTGTAGAATGATGAAAGTTTTTTCTTTCCCTTTGGGTCACCCTACCTTGGTGGGAAATGGTCATGTTAAAAAACTTGTTTTTTCAATAAAATGAGCACATACAGAACACAGGTACTCTTTCTATACTGTACATTTCTATTGAGATACATTATTGCATATTTTTTGCTTGGTCAGTGAATATTAAGCACGAGCAGCTATGACTGTCTCTGAGGCTGCCTATAACAGTACGTACTAATGGTTTTTGACTGTTACACTAGTTGCGATTTGCAATGATCTATGAATATTCAAGCAAATTTGTGAGACTATTTACTGTGTATAATCAAGTTATGTGAATTATGTAGTTACAAATACTGAAGTGTTTCTATACTGTACTAGCCTGGGAACCTTCCAGATATAATTAGAATTCCTTTCCTCATCCTCCCCAAATATTTAAATACAGGTTGACCATCACTAATCTGGCATCATTGGGACCTGCAGGGTGCCGTATTAGTGATTTTGCCAGATTACAGAGTGGTTAGGTTAGAAACCATACCCCGGCCGGGATTGAACCCGTGGTCAGAGTCTCAAAACTCCAGACCGTCGCGTTAGCCACTAGACCAGCTAGCCACAATAAGATTCGTCCAACTAGGATGAATCTTATTGTGGCTAGCTGGTCTAGTGGCTAACGCGATGGTCTGGAGTTTTGAGACTCTCTGACTGCGGGTTCAATCCCGGCCGGGGTATGGTTTGTTTGCAATCGTGTCATTACGATTTCATGAGTCTGGTTAGGTTAGAATATGCTTGGCCCAATGATGATATTTACACATTAGCGATTTCACCCACTTTACACCCTATTTTTGACCCATTCCATTGTTCCAGTCTACCAAACTCATAGCTATTTTGCTAGTATTCTTTCTATTCTGTCGATGAGTACAGGAAACCGCCCATTTACCTATTTCAACTACTCAGTAGTGGTCAGAAATTAGTAAATTGGCCAATCTCTCACAAATTTCAAGAGATGCCAATTTCAAAATAGGGTCCAGAATAAACAATGCAGATATTCCTAGCACTACAATAACATTTTCTCTGTTCATCAATCACGTCTCCAGGCCCCTCTTATATTACGCTTGCTTACCCTTTTGAATTTTTATTCACACAAAAAATAGAACATTTACTGTTATGCAGACTACTACATCATTGTAATAATTATATAAATAATGTCAACCCATTCATGACTGCATATTAGACCGGCCAGTTGGACATATATTGTACCACGATGTCATTTGTTTGCTCTTGAACATCTGCAAAATTCGAACATTTCCGCTACTTTGAGCTTAATTTTAAGGTCCTTTCCAGCATGAAACCAACCAAAATTATATCTATTTCTGTAATATATATTCCATTCTATCAAATGAGACCAAAAAAAATGAGAATACAACCATACAATACACCGCGAAGTTGGTGTTTTACACCACAAGCACGGTTGCCGTTTTTTTTATCATGCACTGTATGCTGCAGGATTTTTTTTATATAGTGCACACAGACCTATTCTCTCATATGTAGGCCCAAATTTACTGGTCACAGCTTATCTGTGTGAGCTGAGCTCATGGCAACTGACAATGGCTTCAAAGCCACCTTGTCCCCTATGGACAATGTATGGCGTACGTACAGTGGTACCTTGAATATCGGCCGAAATTCGTTCCAGAAGGCTGTTCGAGTGCTGTTACCGAACAAATTTGTTCCCATGAGGAATAATATAAATTAGATTACGTTATTGTTCGAGTTGGGAGCAGTACCACTGTACTTTATACAACGAGAAACATTTCTTTCATTCATTATAACCATGGCTAAAAATGAGCAGGTTATAACAATAAATGGAGAAAAAGAAATTTGAATGACTTATGTAGCAAGTAGTGCCACCGAACAGTAGTGGAAGGTTGGCGTGGTGACCCCGGAAATTTGAAATTATGCTAGCTGAAATTAGTGCCAGATTACTGATAGAACCGGATTAGTGATGGCCAACCTGTACTAAAATTCTTGAAGATATAACGAGCATAATATTAAAAAGTATCATTAGTTATTAAATTTTCACATTAAGGAGGAGGATAGCAGCAAAGATACAGTTATTTAATGTCAAATCTGATTTGCTGGTATTGTAAAGTGATGGAAAACTCATTTACCTTCAGGTTTAGTTTAGAATGCTAGAAATTTTCAGCATTTTTTATATGTATTTGTATCTTTCTTTATCAGAAATACCAGTTATTTGAGAAAATTACTGCTGTGCTGAAAGAGAAACTTAAAGTCCATCTAGTTCGACTTAATGTGTCATCTGTTGGGCCACAAAGTTGGTGAGTGAGTAGAAAGTTTGTCATTTCTAATAACAGTAAATTTAAAATAATTAGCATGGGTGCCTTGGGAGAAAGGAGCCCAGTGTGTATGAACTAGGCTGGAGTTTAGAGTCAGGGAAGATTAAATGTGAGTACTTTTGGCTCACAGTGAAATTACTGGGCTTAGTCTTGGGCAAGTCAAGACCATGTTCAGATCTCGTTTCACCTGTTGCCCTACACCAAAATAAACTGAACAACAATATTTATTCATTATGCATTATCCTATGAAATTATAATTTACATTCATATTAAATTGAAAAGATGAATGAAATATTGGCCAGTCTTGAGAATAGGAAGTGTGGTTTATCTGGCAGCTGCTGACAGCAGTGGGTAGGGATTGATGAGGTAAAGGGAGAGAGATTCATGGAGTACACTCTCATGGTCTCACCTCACAACTCATCCACACCATCATAAAATATGTATTCCCTTTATACCTAACTTTCATATACTCTTAACATATTACAGCCTCTCCCAGCAAAACTTAATAATAGCACTTACCTCTTTACAGCCTCTCTGCCTCCCTCTTGTTACCCTGCCCTTTTGCCTCTCCTTTCTGCCTGCCTCTCCTACCACCATCACTGCCTTTGCCCTCACCATCACTCTCCACTCACCCACCACCATCACTCCATTTATGACTTGCATCACCCTGACTTGTCTCTAGATATTAACCATGGGACAATAAGGAATACGTACTTGTAATGCTGGAGGTGCTAAGAGGAATGAGGAAACTGTGGCGAGCATAATTAATGAATTATGCTAATTTCTCTGGGAGCACCACCCTGCCCATTTTCTGTGGAGGCTATGACCAGTAGCTCAATCTAACATGCTTCTCTTGAGCCTTAAGTTTATTTAACAAGTAAATTTTGTATTTAGTGCCCTCTCATAATTTAGTCCAGAATAAGAGGTGCCAGACATTGCCAGAAAATCGGTGTTGTACCTGTATATTTTTGTTAAACTTTCTTGGGAACTCCTAACAAAAGTTTTCTAAATCCAAGTAAATGTAGTCTGATGGTCTGTTTCATTCGTGTATAATTTCTGACTTAAATAATAGCTCCAATAGCTTGGACATACAGTAGTACCCCGAGTTTCGGCCATAATTCGTCCCAGAAGACCGAGTGCTGTTACCAAACGAACTTGTTCCCATAATGAATAATGTAAATTTGATTAGTCTGCTTCAGACCCCAAAAAATACACTTACAATAATACACTTACATAATTGCTCAAGTTGGGAGCTGTGTGAAACTTGGGGTACCACTGTACTGTAAAAGATTTTGTTCATTAGAATCTAATTGCCATTGTTGTCAGATAACAGGTTTTTGTCCTAAATACTTTATCCACATTTCTCTGATGACTTCCAGTATTTTGACAAATGCTCATTAATGAAACTAGCCTAGTTTTAAATTTTCTCTAAGTTTTATGAAATGTTTCCTATTTTTTTTTTACTTGTTTTCCAGTTTACCATGTGCATGTGTACACCTTTGTCATCAGTGAATGAGTGCACAAATACACACGAATGTTATTTTATCCCTTACTCTTTTATTTAGATGGTTTTGTATTTGCATTATATTTAAGTCATACTTTATCATGTCATCTGGTCCATGTTGTGGCAGTCTCTTTCTTTCATCCTATTTATTAACAATAATTAGTTGCATTTTTTAATTAGTTGCAGCTGCTTGTCATTTCAAAAAATCTGTTTTCCAGGGTTGTGACAAGTGAACTGACCTTTTACTTCAACCACCTAGAGGGTCTTGGATTGAATGGCCTTGTATCTCAAGAGGAGTTCACAACAGGCTTATGGCCTCCTCGTTAAAACATGGTTCACAGATTATGTGTAATAAGTGCAAACTTCAGAGTAAATACTAGAAGTTAAGATATTTATGTGGATGTATAGTATGGATTCCCTTTAATTTCTCTCTTGAACAGTTAATGTACATAGGTTTATTATTGTAAATATTTTGGCACAGGACTTTTCATAGAACAAAATGTGATATATAGATGCATCAGTATTGTCAAGACAGGTGGTTGATACAGCACACTTTCTCCTTATTTCTGGTAAATATTTATTGGTTATACTTCAAGATGAGGAATGGCTGTAGTCATTATCACTTTAATGTGATAGTTTTTTAAATCAACTAATTTTGTCTATAGCACATATTTATACAAATAACCCATACTTTTTAAGGTGGTGTGTATTGTATTAATAATTATAGATTGACCATATGCTTGGCACATGTGATGAACACTGTCTTATGTCAAGCATTATGAGGCCATTTTGTAAGGCTGTTTCAGGGATCGCACTTTTAACCACTGATAATTTACAGCTTGGTGGTCAGTAAAAGATTGTTCTCACTGCCAGTTTCTTAATTGGTGAATTACATTAATTCTCAACATAATACTCTCAGTAATCAGAGATGAATATTAATCTGCCAGCATATCCTCAGTAATCAATCATGAATATTTATTAACCATCCTAACACTTAATAATTAATATATTCTAAGGAAATTGGTAGTAGAGTACATAGTTTTTCAGCCGTTTGATTTTTGGTTATAGGGAGTATTTTAATAAAGGAAATCTAAAACCTTTCAACATCAGTGATAATATTTTGTTTACATGATAATGTAGCTTCCTCTATTGCTATGCAGAAGTAATTCAGAGCCAATTCATTGCCAATATACCATCTTTTATTAACCAGCCAAGTAGCAGGTATATCTGTTCAAAGCATTCCAGTTCTTGTCCATTATCATAGTTCTACATATTAACCTCTTTCTCCTGATATTCTTCCACCAAAACCACCTTTCCTCTTCAGTTTCTCTCAACTTTTAGCATTTTCCATGTAAAATTTAATATTAATCATCCGTGCTGAACTTTATACACATACAAACATCTTTTACTTCATACATATCTTGACTCGTTAATACTTCATCCTGTAATCATCTATTCCCTCATCTGTAAGATAATGTAAGTACTGCAATTTTTTTTTTTTTTTTTTTTTTTTTTTTTTTTTTTTTTTATTTTTTCTGTTCTAAACATGCTTTGAAATATCCTCATTTATTATGCTCTTTGTATAACATGACCACTCATAAAAAAAAATTTTTGTTGTTGACATTGTGCTTTCCTGCAAAAATCATTCCCAGCCATTTGAACCATCTTATAAGTATTAAGACGATTAACCCTTACTGTCCAAACGTACATCTACATTTGCACACGTAGTGCTCCAAACGTAGATCATTTTATTTTTCATTCCTTCAGATTTGGCAAAATAGGCTCGAGTCACCTAGACATGAAAGAATGGGTCTGTGCACTCGGTGTGCGCACTATTAAAAAAATCTGGGAGCACTTAGTACCTTGTGATAGCACCAGTTCAATTGAGCGCCAGCTAGAGCAAATAACGTGGCAAACACCAGGGATTCACTGATGCCATGTCGCATTAACACCTCCATTTTAAGAGGAAAGTAAAAATAGGTTAGATAAATACACGAATGAGTGGGTGCGAGTTGGACCTGATTAGCTTGTGCAACTAGGTCTGATGTCATGCTCCTTCCTTCAACGGATGTGACGTGACCCGACTAGGTGGGTCATTGGTCTGAGCCAGGCGGGGTGACATGTACCTGCCTTGCATGGGCCAGTAGGCCTGCTGCAGTGTTCCTTCTTTCTTACGTATTCGGCAGGCTGGCCGGCTAACTTGCTTTGGCTGTCTCTGTCTATATCTCTGTCTCACATGTACAGAAAAGTAATTATACATAGTGTAAATTACCTAGGATAATCCAAAAATTCCAGGCAAAGATAGACAGTCAGAAACATGTTTGTGTGTATCAGTGAAAACAAATAAAGCCAGGGTTCCCCCGAGCACCCATTTATCAAATGTCACCGAGCTGATAACAATGTCATAACAGAATTCAAGGAGTGTAATATACATATACTCCAGACAGAGAGACAAGAAATGTTCGTGTGCAAGCGATAAATATAGCAAGGGTTAGCTGAAGCAGTGGGCATTTATCAAATGTCACTGGGCTGTCAACAATATAGGGATGCCTTTCATAACATGCTTCAAGGTATATGCCAGGGTATCTAAAACATTGCTGGGACCTATAAATACTTTGTGTAATTTCTAGACAATAGTAAATAACCCAAGCAGGTGTAAATGTTCACCTGTCAATGTGATTGTGACTATTTGAGCACTATTTCAGTACCTAATATTAGTGTCAGAACAAGATTGGCTATGAAATTACAAGAACTATTATAAATTGTAAATATCATAACATAAAAAATATATAAATTAAAATAAAAACGAGAAAAAAAGGTATATTGGCAACACTTCTGCAAGTGGCAGGAGTCGATGTTGCTGACAGGTGAGCATCCAGAGCCAACTTCACGGTCTTACATCTCGGTAAGTACTGACTCCCCAATTTTTTTAATCCTATAACATGTAGAAAAATGTACTCTTCATTTTAAAAGAAACTATTTTTTTGTTTTTCAAAATATTAGGAGCGCCATGTGAGTGAACGTAGATCTACGTTTGGACAGTTCAAGGGTTAAAAGGAACAGTTGAAATATTTATTTTGAATATGTTAGGCTTGCATTTATAGTACATATTTAAAGCAACCTACACTTCAGCAGAGAAAAAAGAAAGTGTCGGGAGATTGAGGATTGCCCAGGTAAGTAAATGTAGTTGGAAAAGCAGAGGATAAAAAAAAAAAAATTGTAGCACATGTAAGTCCATATGAAGAGAACAGCTAATGAGTATTGTTGTTTGGTCTGATGCCGAGATCCAGCCAGTGTTTCATTGAGAACCTAAAATATACAGTACTCCTGTCACTGAACATTTTTAACATCAACAAACACTCCATGTTGGTTTATTTGTACTAGTGACCAATATTTATTATTCTTTAAAGTTTGGATAGAATAATGAAATTACATTGTGGAAGTTAAGAATATGTACTAGGCCCCAAGCAACACTGCATTGTGTGTAGTGAATGACAGCCACAAGGGAGTAAAAGGGGTACACCTTTTCCTTCCCCACAGTAGTACTTCCATGCGCAACCAATGCCATCCGGACTACATCTTTTTCTATGTGTAAATTTAAATGTGTGTGCATAATTTTAATTTAATACTTTAACCCTTTCACTGTCATGTAGATCTGCATCATTGACACCAATGTTGATCAAATAGATCTACGTCTTAATCATAGTGCACTTAAATATTTTTTTGATTGGTAAATTCTGGCCCAGATATGAGAGAACAGGTCTGGTGTGTGCACTATTAAAAAATGATGGGAAAACTGAACCTTCTAGACCAGTGTTTGGGCTAAAGGAGCAACTTTGATGTGTTTTCTAGGGTGGGTCTGCCGATTGTTTCGTGGTATCACTTGGTAGACTCAGACATACTAGTGAAATGATTTTCATTAGATTGAGACCGGGTTACCCTGAAATTGGCTTTAAAGTAGCAGAAATATTTAATTTTTGTCAGTTTTCATGATACAAGGTAGGGATTCCCCCCTCTCGCTCCCTCAGTCTGTTTTGAGAGTTTTTGCTAGGTCTCCTTCAGTTATTTGGATGGCTTAAACCATGACCAATCATTCTTGGTTATAAGCTGTGAATTAGGATAAAACTTCAGTTTTTCTGAATGATGGGTTCAAAATGGAAGGTAAGTGTTATATAGGAGAGGCCTTTGGAACATGAATAGGGAACAGAAGAGGTTGCTTCAGTGGCTGGTATACCTACAGTGTTTATTTCCGACAGTTTTTAAACTGTAATTTATATTTTGTGTAAAATTGGGCAAATTACTGACATCTGGGTCATTTATAAAGTAGTTCTGCTAGTTAAATAGGCAGTTTCTTCCACTCTCTCATTAGAACAGAGGGCATACTAGCAAAATAGCCAGTAATTAGCTTGGTTTAAGTAGCAGACCTAAGAAAAGAAAGGTAAAATTATTGATGCATAAATTGTGGCCAGACTTCCAATTTTGCACCTGCGTAATTTTATAAGTATTCCATTTTATTTTGCATTTATAGTGTCATTATTTTCAGAAAAGTATTTCCATTTTTTCTTCAAACTGTAGCATTTTCAGCACTAATTTGAGGGGTTGTGACAGTGAAAGAGTTAAGATTAAAAACCTTTCTGAAAATTGAATTTCAATAGTAAAATAAACAGCTCCATGGGACTATGGTTTCAATGTTTCAAGATGTGAATGGTTCTCATTTCCCTGTTTAATTTTCTAAACAAAACATGTCAAATTTTCACAATATTGTAATGTATTTTCATAGTCGCAAATTTATGAATAACTTAGAAATAAAATTTGAAATATTAAAAATTATTGCTACTCTCTCTTTTATAAAGGGAAATAAAATAATATTGTAATTTAGAAGTAAAAATGATAAAACCAGATACAGTAGATCCTTGAATAACACATCTAAAAAAATTTTTTTTTTAATAAAGTTGAAATATGGTAGCACAAACCTGCATAACAGTGTAAAACTGTAATATCACAGTGTTTTTTAGAAAAGTTGGCTTAGACATTAAAACTTTTCTATTTGGAAATTTACATGGCCTGTTGAAAGCCAGTTCCTGACTCTGGATCAGTTCGGAATATGATGTAGCGGCCCTCTTGACCTCAATGGAAGACTGATTCACAGGTATCAGTTGTGAGTCGTCTACCTCTTATTGTGTAACCCTCTCCAAATGCTGCTTTATCAACAAGCAAAGAACAAGGAATTTAAAGAATAAATTTTAATTACCACTAGTATAAATAAGAAAACTATATTGAAATGCAAGGTCAGCTAACAGATAACCCACAGCAATCTGCTGCTCAGTTGAACTACATGTACATCTAATAGCAAAATAATTTAATGTAGGGTAAATTTTTTTTATTTTTAATTAAATTTATAATAACCACAGGCAGTATATTAACCTTGTTTCTCTGAATGGAACACCACGCCCATTTTCTCTGGAAGAGAGAGTGTAGTGTGTGAAGCACCAGCTTCCCCTGGGCTTTATTTAATAAGGTTGTTTAGTAACTTAAAATTTTATTTATGATTTGGTACTAAACATTTATATATCAACAAAGGACTACATCCACAATGGAAGCTGTCAAAGCACTTTTTTATTTAAAATTTTTTTAACTTTGCTTTACATGATTTGGTGTAATATGCTGTTTTCAGGATTGTAACTACCATGTTAATCAAGGGTTTACTGTATTAAACTTCTTTAATTTTAAATTTGTTTGTTTTTGCATAAAATAATGATAGGTATTGCCATTCTTTTCATGCATTGTCATAAAAGCAATATTTTATCAATGAGAAAAGAAAATTTTGAAATTTGGTAAATAGACTATTCAAAAAAATAAATTTGTTCACACAAACATGCACATATACAATCTTATACACGTATAAACATTTATGCAACTGCCTATTCCAACCATTTTTTAAATTATATATATAAAAAAAAAAGTTATAAAAAGTCACTTACAGTGTGTATTTAAGTTTAGGTATGTGATTATGTACTCTTTTTGCAATAATAGTTAATTGTTCCTACAGTGAATTTTGATTTGTCACATCATTTACACTCCACATTAGAAATTATCAATATTTCTAAAGATGATTGGTATGAGTTAAAGACTTAATATCTGCTATAACTGCTTTAGGACTCTGAACTGAGTTGCAAAATGTGATTCCAGAACTTGACCAAGTAGTGAACAAAATGTATATAGTTCAAAGGTAAAAATAAAA